CGACGCGGCGCGCGAAGGCCGACGCGCGGGCGACGCGACGCGCGCGCGCGAAGCGACAACACATCCGAAGGCAAGGATATGCGCGGGGGGCGCGCCCTAGGATCTGCAGAAGCTCTCGGAACATCATTCCTGGCACTCGGAGGGCAAAGATCTGCGCGAAGGGTACGCCGAAATGGGGGGCGACGGAAGGGGCGCCGCAAGGGCGCGTCAAGGAATTTCAGGATTTCAACATTTATAGGCTCTTAGTTCTTAAGGTTAAAGTTGAAGGCCTGCGCTGAAGAGAGCGCGCGCTGGCTGGCTGCGACCCCCCCTCAACAAGAGCGCCGGGGGGGGTCGCCGCCCGCGCCTGGGATACCGCGGGAACGTGGGAGCGCTGATAAATAGGCCCGAGGGCGCCGCATGCTATATTTTCCTACAGATTACAGCCCCATGGACGGCCGAAAGGGCGCCGCAGAATGCATTTTCACAAGTTTAGAGCCCTAGGGGGATGCAGGAGCTTGCGAGGGGGCCGCAGGCTGCGGCTGAGGGTCAAGGGTTAATTTCATTCGTCAGAACTAGCGAAGCCGCGCACGCGCGGCGTGCGAACCCCCCCTCAGCGGCACGCGCTTCGTCGATGCGGCGCGCGCTGCATGGTTGGAGGGTTGGCGGCCGGGCGCAGGGCCCCGGCAATGGCGTCTTTATGGGCCACGCATGGGCGATGCATCCTCGATTGCTGCGTTCGGCGGGGGAACCAATTGAAGCCCCCCGCCTGCACCCACGCACGAGACTAGAGGGTGGACGATGCAAGGGGGCCGGGGGCTCGGGAAAGGCGACGAAGGCAACGCGCGCTGAGCGCGAAAAAAAATGTTGGAAACAACGAAAGCGGTGAGGCGAGTGTCAAAATCTGCTCAGCCACCCTGACACGCGGAACACTGCGCCTCAGTTCTGGGGATCTTGAAGGCCAGAGCAAAATGTAAATTCACACTGCGGGAAAAAGCAAAATGTAAATTCACGCGCTGGGGAAAAAGCAAAATGTGAATTCACGCGCTGGGAAAAAGGTACATGTAAATCCAACGTCTAGAAAAAAGGAATATGTGAATTCACATGCTGGAATTTAATGTAGGAATCTTTGTGAAGGAGCCAGAATGTGAAGTCACATGCTGGGAGAAGGGAAAATGTGAATTCACATTGGAAAAATAGGGAAATGTTAATTCACATGTTGGAGAAATCGCAGACGCATTCCAAATCTGTCTTGGGGGTCGACAAGTCGTCGTCTGGGAGCACGCGCGATCATCGCTCGCACAATCAAGACACACTTGCACTCCACTTCGCCGCCCCGCGCGCAGTATGCCGGAACGCCCGGACGCATGAACGAGAATGGACGGGCGGTGCGTTTGCCCGCGCGGGCAACGCGCGGGCACGAGCGACTGGCCCTCCATGACCGCCAGCATTGGATGCCAATCGTACCCGATCACATACATGAGCGACACATCGAGCACGCATGGGAAATTCAGCCCCCATTGAAGACCCCCTGTTCCAGGCGGGCAGACTCGCTGAGCGCTCGGCCGGGCGCCACGGGCCACGGGCATTGCACGGCCCGTGGATCGCAATAAAACTGCGCTATACCGCATGGGGGCCTCGCCGCGGTCTCAACTGGGGGCCGCCCACCAAAAAATCTCATCGCGACGACAAGATTTGGGGCCTGCCGACGCCGCGATCCCGCGTAAAGCACGTAAGATTCGCGTCGCGAAGGCTTGCGCGGAGCGCTTGTCAGGCCATTCCGTAGGCGCCCCCGCTCGCGCGGGCTCGCACGGAGCGCCTGTCGGGCCGCTGCGGAGACGCCCCCGCTCGTGCAGGAAGCGCCCCCGCTCGCGCAGGCTCGCGCGGAATGCTTGTCGGGCCGCCCCGGAAACGCCCCCGCCCCTGCCGGCTCGCGCGGAGCGCTTGTCGGGCCGCCGCGGAGACGCTTGCGCAAGCTCGCACGGAATGCTCGGCGGGCCGCTCCGGACCCGCCCCCGCCCGTGCCGGCTCGCACGGAGCACCTGTCGGGCCGCCGCGGAGACGCCCCCGCTCGTGGAGGCTCGAGGGAATGCGCTCGGTAGCGCTTCGGGGCGCTTGGGAGCGCTGGAGCGCTTGGGCTTGCCTGGCAGCGCCTGGGAGCGCCCGCAAGCGCCCGGGAACGCTTCGGAGCGCTTCGGAGAACTTGGGGAGGCGTCGGCGAGCTTGGGGGCGCTGCGACAGCGCCGCGCATGCCGTCGGTCGGGCTTGCTCAATGCGGAGCTCGTCTTGAGGGTTTAGGGCTAGGGTGAGAGATTGGATTGCGCCCACAGGAAGAGCCAGCCCTCCTGCCGGCCGAAGGCGCAGGATCGACGCTGTCGACCCTTCACCGGGAGAGCGCAGTTCCCGCCGGGGGCCGCGTCGGCGCCCGACCTTCCTGGCCAAGGAAGCGACTGCGGGAGAAGCAGGAAAGCTGAGAGGAGGCGAGGAAGAGGAGGAAGGGGGGAGATAGTTGAGTTCGAAGCAACCCTGACCTTCGGACCCTCCACCCCCCAAGCCATTAGTCCGCCCGTGTCCAGACCGCCCCGCCCCGACGCGCCCAGCCGACGACTGGCCCTTGCGCAAGGCAGCGATCGGAGGGGGAAGGGGGGGGTCAAGGAGGAATGGGAAAGAGGAGGGCTACTCACTCCTGCAGGAAACGATGTGGAGGAGGAACTGCTTGGCTGGCTCTTTGCACTCCTCCATCATCTGGTGGTTGCCTCCCTGGCGGTTGGCCTCAACGATGCGGTCGCCCGCCTCCGCGGCCCGGTCAAAGTGGATCGCGCTCCACCGCCCGACGAGGCCCTCCGCGAGGCCCTCCGCCATCACGCTGGCGATGGTCAGCGCGGCGTCGCCGACATGCGTGCCAAGGTCGGACTCGGGGGGGGTCCGCTGGAAAACGATATCCTGCTGATAGCGTTTCGGCGGCCCCACCGCATTCCGCTGCGGTTGCTCATGGGCCTGGTGACGGAATTCGGTCAAGTCCGTCTGCGCGCTCCGTTTGACGAGCTGCTGGCGCCCGTCTTTGAAGTGCATGATGTCCCTCTTGAGCCGTTCAAGCAAAATCTGATGACCCTCCTCGATGTCCCGCTTTTGAAACGCGAACAGCTGCGCGAGCACATGCTTGACCTCATTGCGGAAGTTGTTCTTGGAAGCCTCCAGCTGCCAACAGAGCTAATTGATCTGTACTTGCAGCAGCCGCAGGCGCTATGCCAGCTGCTTTTGCTCGCCCGCCTGGCAGTGTCCGTTGCCTGATATGCCAATGCAGAAGTCGTTGCTGCCAATGGCAACGTAGCCCTCGCTGCTGACGTCGCTGCTGATCACGTCCTGGCGCTGTCCATGCTTGAGGTGGTTCAGCCGCTTCTACGTTGGAGGCCGAAGTTGTTTCTCCCCTTGCTTCTGGTGGGAACTCGTTTGCTGCACTTCTCGCTGGAGGCCGTACGTGTCCAGCTCCTTGACCATACCCTTGTAGGACAAGTCGGCACTCTGGGCCGCTATGTGCCCCGATGACTGGCACGCCTCGTCCACAACGACAATATTATTACACAACTCGTTGGTGAGCTTGTCCGCGGTGGGCAAGTCCAGAACTGCGCTTGTCATCCCTTGGGGGGATCACGACATGCTGCGCCAGTGAACCCCGCCCTTGGATTCCACTGTTGCTGCGCCGAGCGCGCCCTCGCGCGCCCTCGCGCGCCTCTGCCTGGCCGTCCGGCCTCGCCCGCTTGAGCCCGAACTCTTACGAGAGAAGACGAAGGAAGGAAGCGGCCGCGGAACAGGGCCGGAGAAAGCGGCCCCCTCGGACCATTCAGGTCTTCTGGTTGTGTCCAGCAGATCGGCCTTCGGGCAGCACCCTCAGTGGGGTTGGGTCCATTGGGCCTCGTGGGCCTCGTGAGGGCGCTCTGGGAGCATTCTACGCCTCCCTGCGACAGCGGTGGTCACACTGAGCCCGGGTTACGTCGGGCGTGTCCTCCTACAAGCGAATTTGGGACGAAACATTGAAAACAATATCCCAAAAATATTCAAACCAATATTCAAAAATAGCAGAAAAAAACATTCAAATACTATATTTTAACTATTTTTGAAGATTCCTTTCGTAGAGGGACAGGCCCGACTTAAAGCCAGGGCCGGTGATCCTAAGAACTTGTGCTGGCGCCAACGGGCGCTCGTCCACCGACGCCCTTCCGATGCCACACGGGCGGCGCAACGAGGCCCGACACAGGCTCCGCGCTCGTGGCAGAGCCGAACGGGATGAGCACACGTGGGGCTAACACTTTTCCGTCGCCAGCAAGGCGGGAAGATCGCTCGAGCGTGGCAGCGATGCAGGGGCACTACGAAGCGAATTGGCCGGCATGCAAGAGGGGATGAACACACATGGGGCTGACACGTCGCAGCGCAGCAGAGGCAGTCCGCGCGCGCGCGCTCAAGCGGCCCGGGCAACGGAAAGCGCAAATTCACCGGCGGCAGGAAGAGGAAGAGACAGGCGGAAGCGAAGCGGGGCGAGAGGAGGGGAAGGGAGGGCACCACGTTGGGCGAACACCCGTCCCGGCGATCATCGACGGGGCCTGCCAACAGCTCCCGACCTCCCCTCGGTCGCCCCCGTCCGTCCGTCGACCACGCGGGCGCGCGCAGGTCGTCCGGGCGCGCGGTTGGCGGCGCGGTCGTCAGTCGTCGTCAGTCCTCGTCGTCGTCGTCGTCGTCGTCGACATCATCGTCGTCGTCGTGCGTCGTCCGTCGTCGTCCGTCGTCCGTCGTCGTCGTCGACATCATCGTCGTCGTCCGTCGTCGCCGTCGTCGCCGTCGTCATCGTCGTTGTCCTCGTCGTCGTCATCTGCGTCCGTCTCCGTCGTCGTCGTCGTCGTCGTCGTCGTCGTCGTCGTCCGTCGTCGTCGTCGTCGTCGTCCGTCATTGTCGTCGTCGTCGTCGTCGTCGTCGTCCGTCGCCCGCGCGGGCTCGCGCAGGTCGCCCGGGCGCGGGGTGGGCGGCGCCAGCCGGTCGGCGGCGCGCTGCAGCTGAAGCTCCAGCCAGGCGGGGGAGAACCTGGCGACCAGGCGCCCCAGAGGGCTCGACCACGTTCTGCTAATGGGCTTGCGGGGAGCAGGCCATCACGATGAATCTGGGCAGGTCCAGGTGGCTCTGGGTACGTCACGAAAAGTCCACGTCAATCCAGGGAACTCCAGAGAGATCTGCAGCACGTCGTGGACGCTCCAACGCGAGTCCAGGGACAGCAGAAGTTGTCAAGCCCTGAACGACAAGTACCCCTCTCCCCTTCTACTCCGCCTCCCCGCCATCATCATCATCATCATCATCATCATCATCATCATCATCATCATCATCATCATCATCATCATCATCATCATCATCATCATCATCATCATCATCATCATCATCATCATCATCATCATCATCATCATCATCATCAGCGACAGCATCATCATCATCATCATCAATCATCATCATCATCATCATCATCATCATCATCATCATCACAATCACCATCAACATCACCATCATAATCAGAATCATCAGCAGCAGCAGCAGCAGCAGCATCATCATCATCAGCGGCAGCAGTAGCAGCAGCAGAATTTGCAGCAGCAACAACACAAGCAGCAGCATCACCATGGGCACCGGCACCAGCAACGTCATTATCATCATCATCATCATCATCATCATCATCATCATCATCATCATCATCATCATCATCATCATCATCATCATCATCATCATCATCATCATCGTCATCGTCATCGTCATCATCATCATCATCATGATAATCATCTTGCTCATCAGCAGCAGCAGCAGTAGCAGCAGTAATCATCGTCAGCAGCAGCATGATCAGCATCACCATCATAATCATCATCATCATCAGCATCATAACAATCAGCCGCAGCAGCAGCAACAGCACAAGCAGCAGCATCAGCATCAGCATCAGCACCACCATCGTCGATATCAGCAGCGGCAGCAGCAGGAGCAGCCGTAGCAGCGAATCATCATCATCATTATTATCAACAGCAGCAACATCAGCAGCATCATCATCACCACCATCAGCAGCAGCAACAGTAGCAACATCAGCATCAGCATCAGCATCAGCATCATTATCGTCATCACCACCACCACCATCATCGTTATCATCATCATCAGCAGCAGCATGATCATCATCAGCAGCATCAGCATCATCGTCCTCCTCCGCCTCCGACTCCTCTGTCGCACCCCGAGGCCAGTTTTAGGGCGGGCCGGGCGTTTCGCCTGAGACTTCCTCACCAGTTATGACTCTGAAGCTGAAAAAGTGACAACAGCTTCACAGATGGAGGGCGGGTGCTTTTCAAAATGTGGCTCTCGCCTTGGCGCCGCGCACATTCGTTTTCAAAATTTGCAAGAGTTTCACGGGTTGAGGGCGGGTGGTTTTCAATATGTGGCTCTCGCCTTAGCGCCGCGCACGTTCGTTTTAAGAATGTGCAAGAGTTTCGCGGATTGAGGGCGGGTCGATTTCAATATGTGGCTCTCGCCTTAGCGCCGCGTACATTCGTTTTAAGAAGAGCTTCACGTATTGAGGGCGGTTCCTTTTAAACATGTAGCTCTCGTCTTAGCGCCGCGCACATCCGTTTAAAAAATTGGCAAGGGTTTCACAGATTCTCATAATCAACGTACTTGAAATTGTGTTTTGGAAAGATTCAGGACTATGCGGGCGCAACAGTTACGTTGATTCGCGGTGTTGTCACAAAAGTTGCGTTCTGGCACGAATCTGGATCGTCAAGGCGCAGCAGTCAATTTGATAAGTGGCGTCGAAATCCCGAGAACAATGTTTTGGCACGCTTCAGGGTCTTCAAACTGTCGTCTTCCAACGAGGCAGTTCCCTCAATGGACACGAACCGCTGTAGGGGCTTATGAAGAGGGAGCTTGGAGGGAGGGTTAATTCCGACATCGTTGGTGACTCTTGGGTTGCCACTGGTCCTCCTCCTCCTCATCATCCTCATCCTCCTCCTTCCTGGACCCTCCTCCCTCCTCCCTCCCTCGCTCATCCCTCCCTACCCTTCACCGTTCCCCCTCCCCCTCTTCCTCTTCCTCCTCCTCCTCCTCGTGCTGCGTCCTGTTCCTCTCATCCCCTTCCTCCTACCCGTTTCTCCTCCTCGTTCCTCCTCTCTCACTCGCCCCCAAGCGGTGGCCTGTCGTCTTGAGGCGGCCCAATTGGCAGCGGTTTCGTGGACCTGATGATCGCCTGCGGGGACTCGCGGGCGGTGTGGAACGGATGGCGGAGGGGAAGGTACACAGCAGCTGATGAAGAGGCAGAGGGAGGATGGCGAGGAGGACAAAGCGGAGGAGCGGTCTGGAGCAGATGGCGGAAAGAATTGAGAAGCGGATGAAGAAGAAGAGGGAGGGTGGCGAGGAGGACGAGGCGGAGGAGAACGAAGGCGCAAGGCGGACGAGGCGGGAGGAGGGATGGGAAGGCTACGCAGGCTAGAGGGTGAGCGTTGAGGGGAACATGAGTTGAGCTGTCGGATTGGTGGGCAGGGTAGAACGGCTCAAGGCTCAAGAGATATCAAAAAGAGCTTCTCGGCAAGCAGAGAACAAGAACAGGTGGCATGTGCAGACACGACAATACTTACATGTTTGCTTGGTCCACCGCTTCACCCTTTACCTCGACTCGTAGACACGTATCAATGTACAAGACAGAAGACCCACGAAAACTGATATACGGGCGCCAAGACATCAGAAGACGACGTCGCCGCTGCATCGTGCAGGTGCACACAAGGTAAAGCCCGACCCCTTGAGACTCCTGTCATCACACACACACCATTACCACCGACCCTGCACCCTCAGTCGCTGGCTTTTGTATATATATATACACTTCCCAACCATCATGTGGTGTTGGGTCCCCGTTTTGAAGAAACGGTCCCCGCGTTCCTCCTTCCTCCTCCCTCATCCCCTCCTCTCATCATCACCATCATCATCATCCTCATCATCATCATCCTCATCATCATCATCAGCATCAGCATCATCATCATCATCATCATCATCATCATCATCATCATCATCATCATCAGCATCATCATCATCATCATCATCATCATCATCATCATCATCATCATCTCATCATGATCATCATCTCAATCATCATCTCATCATCATCTCATCATCATCATCATCATCATCATCATCATCATCATCATCATCATCCATCACATCATCATCATCATCCATCACAGCATCAGCAGCAGCAGCATCATCATCATCATCATCATCATCATCATCATCATCATCATCATCATCATCATCATCATCATCATCATCATCATCATCATCATCATAATCATCATCCATCATGCATCATCATCATCATCACAGCATCATCATCATCTCATCGTCATCATCATCATCATCATCATCATCATCATCATCATCATCATCATCAGCATCATCAATCATCATCATCATCATCATCATCATCATCATCATCATCATCATCATCATCATCATCATCATCATCATCATCAATCATCATCATCATCATCATCATCATCATCATCATCATCATCATCATCATCATCATCATCATCAGCTCATCATCATCATCATCATCATCATCATCATCATCATCATCATCATCATCATCATCATCATCATCATCATCATCATCATCATCATCATCATCATCATCATCATCATCATCATCATCGTCGTCGTCGTCGTCGTCGTCGTCATCAGCGTTTAGGTCCCAGTGGCAGAGTCCGCATGCGTCCCCGCCACTCATTTCGGCACAACCCTCATACGTTTCGTGGCCCCATAGGAGCTCCGCCGAAGTTCCCAGTGGCACAGGTCGCATGCGTCCACGCCACTAATTTCGGCCCACCCCTCACACGTTTCGTGGCCCCATAGAAGCTCCGCCGACGGTCCCAATGGCACAGTCCGCATGCCTCCCCGCCACTCATTTCGGCACACCCCTCACACGTTTCGTGGCCCCATAGGAGCTCCGCCGAAGGTCCCACTGGCACAGTCCGCATGCGTCCCCGCCACTCATGTCGGCCCACCCCTCACACGTTTCGTGGCCCCATGATGGGCCGCCGCCGAGGTCCCCAGTGGCAAAGTTCGCATGCGTCCCGCGCGCACTCATTTCGGCCCACCCCTCACACGTTTCGTGGCCCCATAGGAGCTCCGCCGAAGTCCCAGTGGCACAGTCCGCAGGCGCCCCGCCCCCGCCACTCATTTCGGCCCATCCCCTCCACGTCTCGGGGCCCCATGTCGAAGTGAGGAAGCTCCGCCGAAGGTCCCAGTGGCGCAGTCCGCATGCGTCCACGCCACTCATTTCGGCCCACCCCTCACACGTTTCGTGGCCCCATAGGAGCTCCGCCGAAGGTCCCAATGGCACAGTCCGCATGCGCCCCCGCCACTCATTTCGGCCCACACCTCACACGTTTCGTGGCCCCATAAGAGCTCCGCCGAAAGTCCCAGTGGCACAGTCCGCATGCGTCCACGCCACTAATTTCGGCCACGCCACTAATTTCGGCCCACCCACCCCACGCTTCGTGGCCCCATAGGGGCTCCGCCGAAGGTCCCAATGGCTCAGTCCGCATGCGTCCCCGCCACTCATGTCGGCACACCCCTCACACGTTTCGTGGCCCCATAGGAGCTCCGCCGAAGGTCCCAGTGGCACAGTCCGCATGCGTCCCCGCCACCCATTTTCGCACAACCCCTCACACTTTCGTGGCCCATAGTAAGCTCCAGGCCCCATAGTAAGCTCCGCCGAAGGTCCCAGTGGCACAGTCCGCCTGCGCCCCCGCCACTCATTTCGGCACACCCCTCACACGTTTCGTGGCCCCATAAGAGTTCCGCCGAAGGTCCAAATGACACTCGTCGCATGCGTCCCCGCCATTCATGCCGGCCCACCCCTCACACGTTCGTGGCCCCATAGGGAGCTCCGCCGAAGGTCCCAATGGCACAGTCGCATGCGTCCCCGCCACCCATTTCGGCCCACCCACCCCACGTTTCGTGGCCCCATAGGAGCTCCGCCGAAGGTCCCAGTGGCACAGTCCGCTGCGCCCCCGCCACTCATTTTCGGCCCACCCACCCCACGTTTTCGTGGCCCCATCGGAGCTCCGCCGAAGGTCCCAGTGGCAACAGTCCGCATGCGCCCCCGCCACCTCCGCCTCCGCCTCCGCCTCCGCCTCGCCTCCGCCTCCGCCTCCGCCTCCGCCTCCTCCTCCTCCTCCTCCTCCTCCTCCTCCTCCTCCTCCTCCTCCTCCTCCTCCTCTTCCTTCTCCTCCTCCTCCTTCTCCTACTCCTACTCCTCCTGGAGCACCCGTCGGCGCGCTGCGCCCGCGGGGCGGCCCGCCTCCATGATCGCCTCGCTCTGCTGCAGCTTCCGGGGTTCCGCCTCGCCAGCCTCGGCCGCGCCTGCGCCATCCTGCAGCGTGGGGGGCGGCCGGAGGCGCGCCATGGTGAAGGGGCCTTCCCCTCTGAGCGACGGCGACGACGACGACGACGACGACGACGACGACGACGACGACGAAGACGACGACGTGGCCTCCCCAAGACGCCACGAGGACGGCCAGGGCGGCTCCAAGAGAGCTCAAGAGGGCCCCAAGATGCCTCCAGGACGGCCTCGAAGAGCCCAGGAGGCCCCAAGCGGCCCCAAGGTGCCTCCCAGACGGCCCAAGAGGCGCGGGGGTCGGCCAAAGGCGCGCCGCGGTGTAGGTGCGCGACGACAAGACACGGGTTTGCAGCGAGATGCCGCAGCGAGCTTGCGCGGAGGCTCACGCGGGCCGCCAGCGTGGCGCACTGCGTGGAGAAAGAGGGCACTTACGCGATCTCACGCGGGCAGCTAACGCGCCAAGGTCCGCGCAGTTGGACCCGGTGTCTTGCGTCGCTCGGGTGGCCCTCCCCTCTGAGCACCGTTTCGCCGATCCCGATCCCAGCTGGCGAGGTATTGGCCCCACCAGCCGACGTAGACCACCTAGGCGGGATCCTATGGGCCCGCGGGCCCCCCTGCCCCCCTCGGCGGAAGCGCGGAGTGTCTCGAAATACATATAACACATGCAGGACCACCCCCCCCCCGCGGGCTTCCCTCTTGGGAGCCTGTTTGGGACTCCTGGGGGTCCGGGTGCTTGGAGAGGTCGGCACGTTGGGTCGCGCCCTCCCCCAGGGACCGATCTTGGTCGGCTCCTGAGGTGTTCTTGGGCCGTCTGGATGTCTCAGGGGCCGGCTTGGGGACCTCTTGGGCCGTCTGGGCGCAGACTTGGGGACCTCGTGGCCAGCTCAGTCGTCGGGGCCTCTGAGTCAGTGTTGGAGCGCCGCGAAGCCGAAAAGACGAAAACGCTAAAAATCCTTCAACGAAACATGTTCTTGGAACCCTCTTCGAGCGTCTTGAAGCCGTTTTGGGGCCGTCTAGAGGCTCTCGTGCAGCGTCCTGGGGAGGTCTTGGGCTACGTGGAGGCCATCCAGAGCGTCTGGGGGAGAGTTGTCGGCGACTCGGTGACTCGGGAGCGGTCTGGATCGGAGGCCTGAGATTGACACCGATTCCAATATCGCTGGGTGCCTCCACCGAGGGAAGATGATCCCGATCTCAATGGTGGTGGTAATATTCGGGTTTCCTGGACGCGAATAACTACCACCAACACCGAAATCTATGATCAACTTCCCCCTGTGGAGGCAAACCCCCTGTGTGGTGTTGGTGCCCACTCCCGAGCCTCCAACTGGACCACCTCTTCGGACTTCTCGGCAGCCTTTAGGGAGGAGCCCGGGCCCCTGGCATTAGGTCGGGCATGTCCCCTACAGGCGGATTTTGGACGAGGGAAAATACCCAAAAGATACTCCAAAATTGCCAAAAATAGTCAGAAATCACCCCCCGACTTTTCTTGGACTATTTTTCCGCATTCCTCCCGTAGAGGGACTTGCCCGACTTCACCCTGGCGCCACCATGCGCCGTCGCTCCCCAAGCCCAGGGTCCCCACGCCCCAGAAACCCTGGCATTCCCTTGTCTAGACGGGCGCGCTCCACTGCTCGCACAGAGCAACTGCTCGCAGATGGCCTGGATCCACCTGGGGGGTCCAGGCCATTGCAGAATTTGCTGCGTGGATGTCTGCCAGTGCAAGACCCCGGAAAGGCGCGCGAAGAACGAAGTGAATTTCACGTGGATTTGTTCTAGTCTTCATTCCTGGCCTAAAAAATCCACGCCAAATTCACCTCGAAATCGGGAACGAAATTCTCCAGGACATTCCGGGCCCCTCCCATGATTTTCCGAACGAAATTGTTGGCGCCATGACAAGTGGACTGGTCCGCCGTGGGGGATCTACGATAAACGACATCGAGGAAGACAAGATTTGTATCGGACGTTTGCGAATAGGCACTTTGCGCGTAATGGAACGCGTTCGTTGATGGTCTAAAATTTGACCATCCGGGAGGAGGGGGAGGGGGACCCCCCCCCAAACGGAACCCTCCGGATCCGTGGCCCTGGTGGCCCCTCTGGACGCCCCTGCAGAAGGTCCCCCCGGGCTTTCCGGGGCTCCTGGAAGCCACTGCTGGGCCTGGGCAACGGCCCGAATCAGCCAGTGCAGGGCGGCGGAACGGACCCGCGGGAGCCCCGAGAGGCCCCGAACACCCATCAGACGCCCGAAGACGACCAAGACGACCCCCACGAGGTTTTCGAAACACGAAAACATGGATTGCCTGGTGTTGGTATGATTTTGTGGATGCTTTGTTATTCGGTTTCCCGTGCGTCCGAGACCGCCCGGGAGGCCAGAAAATCTTCCAAAAACTTGCCTAAGTGAGCTTCCAGACAGTCCAAGAGAGACCCAAGACTGCCCAACAAGGCCCCAGGATGGCCATGGTCTAAGATGGCCCCAAGACGCCCCCCGAAGCATTCAAAGTCGTGACCCGGTCGTTCAGGGAGACCGCAGTTGGAAGCAGGGTGGCCCGAGTAAGCCCTCAGGGGCCCCCAGAAGGAACCCCAGGAGGCCTCCAGAAGACCACCAGAAGCCATTAAAAACTCGCGCTGGCCCCCAAGAAGCTCTCCAAGGAGGAGCCTCTAAAAAGAGAGCTAAGGATAATAGAAACGAATTCGCGCGGTAGGCAGAGCAGAGAATGAGGAAACACGAGGGAAAGATAACGAATACCATTAGTGCAACAGCACCGTAGGAAAAGGCAAAGAGCGATCGCCAAATATTCCGTTGTACCTTCCTTTATTTTTCAGCATCCATACCAAGCATCACAGACCAAGCTGCATGGCGCGAAGCGCCAATGCACTCGTGAATCCATGCATGTAGATACTCACATACATTGATAACGAAGAAAAGATTCCAAACACAATATTGGTATGGCTATAGTGCTACCCGACACTCATCCTCCGATGTTCCTCACACGTTTTCCTCGTCTGCTCCTCGCTAGGCGCTTAGATCCTCCCACTTCGAGAGGGGGGGCCATGGAGAAAAAAATAGAGAGAAGGAGAATGAGTCAGGAACCGAGGGAACGGCGAGAGCGCGAGGAGGAGGAGGAGGAGGGAAGAGGAGGAGGAGGAAGAGGAGGAGGAGGAGGAGGAGAGAAGGTGGAGGAGGGATGAGGAAGTGGAGGAGGAGAGAGACCAGGAGGAGGAGGAGCAGCAGGAGGAGGAGGGATGATGATGATGCTGCTGATGATGATGTTGATGATGGTGGTGGTAATGATGATGACGATGTTGGTGATCATAAAGATGATGATGACGATGGCGATGGTGATGATGGTGTTGATGGTAGTGATAGTGATGATGATGATGCTGATGATGATGAGTATGATTATTATGACGATGATGATGAAGATGGTACGGATGATGATGGCGGTGATGATGATGGAGATGGTGACGGTGATGAAGATGACGATGACGGTGAATCTGAAGATGAAAATGAAGATGAATATACAGATGGTGAAGCTGAAGATTAAGATAATGATGATGATGACATTGGTGGCAATGATGATGATGATGGTGATGGTGATGGTGATGATGATGGTAGTGATGGTGATGGTGAGCTTGATGAGGAGGAGGATAAGGATGAACATGAGGATGAGGATGAGGATGAGAATGATGATGATGTTGATGGTGATGGTGATGGTAATGAAGATGACGATGCGGATGCTGATGATGGTGAGGAAGAGGAAGGGGAGGCGGATGAGGATGACGACGACGATGATGAGGAGGAGAAGGATGAGGACGGTGATGAAGAGGATGAGGACGAGGATGAGGATGAAATTGCGATTGGTGACGGCGAGGAGGAGGATGAGACTGAGGATGCGGATGACGATGAGGAAAGGATCAGGATGATGATGAGGAGGATGAGGATGATTGGGAGACTAGAGTAACAAGTAAGGAAAGAAAACTAAGAGAATGTGCGCTCTGTTGCACAAGGGCGACGCATGCGGCACGCGGCGCTGTTAGGCGCACATGCGGGCGCTAAGCCTGGCCAGGCTCAGGGCCCAAAAGGCAGCGGGATATCTACACCTGGTGCTACTGGACTCCCCGTTCGAGTCTGGTGCTCAAACACGTCCGTTGCCCCCTCGGTAGAAGCAGCTACACTTCCACCGAGAGACCAACCCCGCCCTGCTAGCCACCCTCGGGTCTGGCCTACAGCTCCAGGAAGCCCACGTCGAAGGTCCGCGGGCCGAGGAGCTGCGCCGGGCGGAGCACCGCGCAGTCGCAGGCGCTCAACTCCCGGCGCGCCTGCCAAAAGGACCCGCCTGGAACAACACCCATTAAACGTTGCCCCCCCTCACTGTCTGCGGAGAGCGGGCAATCGGCAGCAGGACATCTACACCTGGCGCTTCTGGACGGCCCTCCTCGCTGATATGAAGGCCAGGACCATGTTGACGTACTCCTGGGCTTGCCTG